GACAGAATTTAAAATTTAAAAAATAATAGTAGTTGGGTGTCCAAAATATGAACTGTGATTGGTGGATTTCATTTTTTTGCAGTTTTCTCACTATGTTATGTTGGGAATGGGGTGTTAATACACTACGACCTAAAATATATATTGTGCCCCCTTCTGTCGCTTATGCAGCACGGAAATGTCTCAATGTTTACAACGATCCTTCCAATTATATTTTCTCAAGGAAGTGTAGGATTTGGAGTGGCTTCAAGTTAGGTAAATTTCCCTCTTCTATTTTATATGCTCCTAGGTATAGTGCCCTTTGATTCTGGAGTGCTACACATTCAGTTAGAATTTGAACGAAGGTTTCGTCCTCCTCACAGAATCTGCAGTCACTATCTTCTACTAATCTCAGTTTACTAAGGTGTCCTTTTAGTTGGCATTGTCCAGTAAGGATCCCTGTTACAAGTGTTCTCAGTACTAGAAAAATGTATAATATGAAAACAGCTTCAAATACAATTTGGCTAATGTGGAACACCCCGAAAGCCTTGCCAGACTCATCTAATGATCGCCAGGCGCGCTAAATTCGGCACGTTCGATTGCTATTCCTCTCCTCGTTTAACTACCTGGCTTGTCAGGTCCGACCGAAATATGGTTTTATAACCGAAACAGAAACTAAATTTCGGCTCTTTTCTTAGTTTCTGCCGAAACCGAAACAGAAACAAGAACTTTGTTCTAAGGCAATCTCTTTTTGAAATTTGCAGTATCTTATTGTAATCCTTGTTTTAGACTAATTAACTCGTATTATAAATTTAAGCTACATTTACTTATTACCTATTTATTTTTGGTGATCAAAAGTAGCCATTAATAAATTTATGGACATTGTTTTTTTTATTACTTTTAAAATTAAAAAAAAAGAGTAAGTGAATTACAAATTATCAATCATTTCTGCATCTGTAGTAGATATTTTGTAACAAAAAATAGTATTATGAAGGGAATTATATATAATGTATAATTTTTATTTAAAAAAAAATAAGCGGATTAAATATGTTTGTTACTTATAATTAAATTAATATTCATAAGTAAACAGTCTAACGTTGTAGGGTAAAAAAAATATTTTTCCACGTTTTCACCTAAAAAATTGCTCCTTTGATCCGAATAATTTAGGCCAGGAGCACTGAAGACTGTTCACTTGAAACAAAGCAGAGTAGTTTGTGTGTACGTACACTGTGTAAGAATGGCACCCGGCACAGTCGCCATTGTGCAGGACACAACCAAGTGTGATACGAAAACTTTCGAAAGTAGTTTTGCTGTCGGCTGCAGTTTCGGCCAGTTTTTCGCCGAAACCGAAACTGTAGTCAAAACTCTTATTTTAAGCCGAAGTTGGCCGAAACCGTAACCGAACCTTCGGTCGGACACTACTTGTGAGTCTGGCAGGCCTTCGTGATTGTAATTGTCAGCCAGACGTGTATTTTCACGTAGAATACCACTAGTGACTAAATTATTTCCGGAAATTTTTTCGAACTTAAGAATATTTTGAAATTTAGTCGAAGACGATGGATAAATTTCTTAAAATATGCGTGGGTGAGCAATAATTTACTGATAATAATTTAAGCACATGTGGTATTGGGTAAGAAAATTTTACACCAAAATATCCAAATTTCAAAACTTGACAGACATACATTAAAACGACTAAAATCAAATTTTCAAAGCTGGTCATACCACAGCATATAAAACATATATTTTTAAATGCTGTGGCCAAACCATGACCATTTGTCATATTTGAAGACGTTTAGTTGACGCGAAAAACCTCATTATTATTTTACTTAAAATAAATGTAGTGTATTTCTACCTAGTTATAATTGAAATTAAATAAAATATTAACCACTAAAACGGCAAATTTTTAATCACACTATCGCGTTGCGTCGTAATATTTTATGCATGGAAGGGCTTATCAACTTTCAAAAAAATTTTCAGTATAATTTCGTTTAGGGTATCCACCAATAGGAAAATTACCGGAAATTTTTCTTGTTGTCATGGAAACGTTTTAAAATAACAGCATTTGATCGGCTATAAAATAGAGGTGTAAAATTACAATATAATCTATTACGTGACAAATTTTCAAACCCGGGAAAATAAAAGCAAAAATATTATATTTTTTCGATTTTGAAGATGTTACTAGACTCATTTGCCAATTTCGTAAATCAGCCAGACATTATTATTAACATTTCATGATTGTATCAATTTATATGCTAAATTTTCTGCCACACTCACTTTCCACTATCTGAGATAATCCAAACTGCTATTTTTATAAACTTTTTGTTCTAGTTTAGTAAATGTATAATATTTATGACTGGGAAAATAAGAGTCAGACTCAAAAATTTTGTTTTTTGTTACTCATATACACCTTTTGGAAAAATGAGTAGGTACGAAAAAAATTCACTGCTTCCTAAGCTAAATGTAAAATTGCAGAATCAATCAAATGGCACGATTCTTTTTATTTTTTAATTTCTGTTCTAAAATCTGAAATGTATGGGTGGATGTGCGATAGTGAATTATTTTTGGAGGGCTAATTTGGTTTTTGGGGGCTTAGCCCCCCCAAGCCCTCCCTTAACTTCGCCCATGGCCTTTATAAAGTGACCACCAAGCTCACCAATTTTTTTTTACTTTTGGGATTACCTTAAATCTAAAGTATACTTCAATAGGCCTAACAAAATCAAAGATATAAAAGAGGATTCGCAATGAAGTAAGCCTGATTCACCCGGAAACGTTAACTAGAGCAGTGGTCGCCAAGCTGTCGATCGCGAGCTACCGGTAACTCGCGGATGTCATTCTGGTAGCTCTCACAACGATTTTAATTCAAAAAATACAAACTGCAAAAATCAGAGAAGTTTCCGAAAATTCCACAAAAAAATCTAATTGTCATAATATTAAACATAAACAGCGGCAACGTTGCGGTGAGCGATCTGCCGCTGACGCCATCAAGCTAGAATCGGCTAGAACCGACCAGCCGGACCAGCGCGTTAGTGTTCGAGAACGATTAGGAATGCTTTGAACGGGATAAATATGCACGATGGGCGACATTGCGCTTAGTTTAAAACTGAACGCGTAACCAACGTCCAGCGGTTGGGTTAGTAGAGAACAACAAAAAATAATATTATGGTAAGCAGTTGTAAGAAGGTAAAGACATACCACTTTCATTCGGAATGGGAAGAACAATACTTTTTTTAACACATTTTCTGTCAGAGCAACTTCTTGAAAATTTGTATCTAGTGATAGATTCGCGAGTATCAATAAATATGGGAAGAATTTTGATCCATCAAAAGACGATTTCTTAAATTTAAATCATGAAGAAGCTGATACTCGTATCTTATTGCACATATTATCAGCCAGAAATTCGGGGAATTCACGCTGCATTATTGATTGCAACGATACAGATGTTCTAGTCTTATTAATTTATTTTAAGTAGTTTTGAACTAAAAAGATATGGTTCATAATAGGGCGAGGAGACTTCTAAAAAATTTGCCTTCTTTTCATTCTGTGACAGGTCGTAATAAAACTAACCAATTGTCTGGCATTGGAAAAAAAACCTGTTGGAAAACCTACCTTGAACACCATCACCTTTTGGATGGATTTGGCACTGATTCGTAGGTACTCTGAAAACACATTCTCTAATCTTGAAATTTTTTTCATAAAACTGTATTCAAAAACTGCCAATGTTACTTCCATTACCATTTTGAGGGGATTAATGGCCTCTTTAAAATAATTCCTAAATTGCCATTGACTGAAGATGCCCTAAGAATACATTGTTTAAGATGTTTTTACCAGCTAAGTATTTGGCTAAGCTCTTTAAGACCCAGATGCAGCTTCCTAATGTTGAAGAGTATGAATGGAAAGTAGATCAAGATTGAAGCCTGATACCCACTCTTAAGATTATGCTCGACCTGCTACCAGAAATAACAGAACTTATCATGCAAATGCAAAAAAGGTACTATACACCGATAATTTTCATACATGTACAATATTTTAACAATATTCTATTCTAGACTATGGAAGCAAAATTTGCAAATGCAGAAAAAAATATTGGCTACATCGGTTAATGCACCTGTATAGCACAAAAAAACTGCAGAAATTGTTTGATCATAGCCGCTAATGTTTTGGAAAATGTAGATTAATGTGGTGAATCTGATTCTGATTAGTTTGAGTCTTGTACTTAATATTAACTTATGCTTTATATACGTCTAATTATTGAATTTTTTTAGGGCTCGGAATTGTATTCGGTTAATTCGATAATTCGAATATTCGAATACTCAAAATTCGATATTTTTAGATCGAAATTATTCGAATAGTCGAATATTCGAATAGTTGAATATCCGAATACTCAATATTCGACTAATTGAACTAGGTATTCGATACTCGAATATTCGACTATTCGAACACTTAAATATCGGAATAATGTAAATGTTCAAATATTCGGATATATCGAGAGTGGTCTGGCAAAACCGAATATCTGCAGTAATGTTAAAACCGAGAAAATACGTTTCAAAGTTTGGGACATCTTTATTTTTATACCAATAGATAATTATGTTATTTTTTGTAATACAGATTGATAGAATGTATAATTAGGTTTATAAATAAAAAAAAAACATTTAAAGTAACTGAACCGTTTTTGAAAAAAAATATTAGAATTTTCTAAAACTACATGCAGTTAGGAGGTTCTGGCTGTAACATATAAAACGTCAATTTAAGTTATATGACAATAACTGGTTCTGCCGGTAACTTATTAGTATAATTCTCAAAATTACTTAACATCACCAAACACAAATAAAATAAAAATAAATAGTTTTAATGAGAGGAAACACATTTTTATTTTTAACAAAACTTAAATAAATTCGAAAAAACATTTTAATGAGAGGAGAAACATTTTTTTTTATTTTTAACTAAAGTAATAATTAAAAAAAATAGTTAAATGAGAAGAAAAACAATTATTAAAGAAAGTAAAAATTCTAAAAAATAAGGTCTGGTTACGTTAGAACTTCTTCTCCTTCTCCAGCTATGTCGTCATCTTCCGAGTCTTCTTGAATATCAACATCTGGTATGCGGTCAGTAATATTATTTTCTGTTGAAAGTGCTTGATACCAGCCATGAAGCTCTTCTGGGATTACACCTTTCTTGCACAAGTTCAGCAAATCTCGTTTTTTTGACGTACTTATAGGTAGAGGAGCGTGATATAACTGTGACAATTCGTTTGGAAACTGTTGTAGCGGTTGGAGCTCTTGGGTATTTTTTTTTGGATCTTCTGGTAGAGTACGTTGTACTTCTTTCTTTAGTATCAGAGATATTCATGGACTTAAAATTTTCAGATAAGTCGTAATTAAAGAAAATTGTATTGATATTTCCCTTTACATATCTCATTCGTTTTATTTTCAACCATTGCACTGGCTCTCCATCAGTATCTGTTGTTCGGTTTTTAAAAAATCGCTCAGAGAATTTTTTAAGATCCAAAAATTCGTTGAATTTAAATTCTTTAATATGGTAAGGTTCGATGGTAATTTTGTTACCATTCACAACACAACTTCTCTTTCGCCTAGCTGACCTAAAAATGTGGGACCAATCTAACATGGAATAAATTGAGTTGTGTTTTTTAGCACATTCAATACTACTATGCATCGAGTCGGCTTCCATGTATGTGTGACCTGATTCCAAAAATTTTTGTTTAATCACACGTAGGTTATCAATTTTTTGCACCGCCCATAGAAGTAATATAGCTACGAATTGATTCCTATTCTGCCCACCACACGTATCTGAGAACAGGCTCACTTCTGTAGTATGTTGTGGTAGACAATTTGACAGGTAGTGGTACAAAATACTTCCAATTTCGCAGCTTCCTTTTTTACCATTTATTTCGGACCAATAAAAACAATAACCATTATTGGGATGAGCAGATTCATAGATACACAGGTTAAAAACTAAAAGTTTTCTGGAGTAGTATAATAAACTTACTTTACAAGTTGGTATTTGCAATACCGCTTGCAAATCAAATGTTACTGAACAGAAGTGTGGGTCCTCATTGGCTCTTTTCTTGTCTTTGTCTTTTTCTTTATTGCATGCTTCTTTTCTTGCAATATGTTCATCATAATTTAGTTGTAGTTCTTGTTTTTTTATTAAATCGGCTTTCTGATAGTTGGTACACGTCAGACACTGATCGTGTTTTGGCATGAAAAAGCTTAAATTATATTCATTACCGAATACTCTTCGATAAGTTATTTCCGAAGCAGGTTCTATATTATTTTCAGAGCATTGTTCTTTATAAAAATTATACATTTTTCTAATGTTAAGTTTTTGGTCCAAATACTTACGTTTTGTCTGTTTTCTGACGTAGTGGGACTCCATGCATGGAAAGGATTCTATGTGAGCTCTAATTTGGTCAAGTTTTTCATCAGAAGTCTTGTTGGATGGAACATGCTTTCCTCTGTGATCAATATTATCAAACACGTGGGCATTACTTCTATGTTTAACCGCATGTATAATCACAGCTGGAGATATACATAGGGTATAACAAAAGAATTTCTCACAAACTTGAACCTTATCATTTCCTTTGGAGAAAAAACACTTTTTTGTATAGGTCCTCTGCGCGCGTTGGTTTCTTGTTGCTAATACACGTTTTGGACTTTGGACAGCAACATAAGATAAAATAAAATTCTTTTTACTTTTGTAGTCCATATTCCAATAATATCTACAAATATAATTTCTCTCATCTTCTGATAGGTGTTCATTGCATTTAAATTTACACCGTGAACAGTCAATAGGCTTTGGTAGTTTTGCAGGTCTTAATTTATTAGTTGTAATATAGGATGCACCTTCTGAGCGTCTATGTTTGGCAACATTTCTAGACCAGTTCCTCATATCTAGTTTACGTCGTCTCCTAGGTTTTACTTTTATCCATACTTGGTTTAATATTTCGGCTAAAATTATATTAACCACTTCTGTGCTATTTTCATTTGGTGATTGTTGTTGATTTGAAGTTTCCATCAGCTCTTCCTCAACAGTTTGAGATTCTTCATCAAGGGACTCATCCTCAACAGTTGTACTATCGGGATGAAAAGATGGATCCATGTCCGAAAAGTCACTCCCAAAGGGATCTTCATTTTCTTCGTCAGAAACTGACGAATTACTTGCAGGTGTCAGATTTGACCCTGCAACAATTAAAAACCAATAAAATACTTCCTCATGTTTAATATTTTACTTTAAATAACTAGAACAACAATAGCATAAAAATGAAAACTACTACCTGTACCAAAATAGGAAAAAGCTGGAAAAACTCAAAAATTATAATAAATATTAACGTATATAAATGACCTTAAATATACATTTTTATACTATTATTGTTGTAATGGAATTTCACAGAAGAGAAGCAAAACAACTGTGTATGCTTCTTTTTATACGCTTTATTAACCTCTATCTTAAAAAAAGTAAATTTATCTATCTATCTATAACATTTTAGAAGAAAAAAATAGTGAACTAAAAATAAATATTTACATCCACAGTTATTTTTTATCCTTCTTGTAAGTAGATTACACTTGCCTGATCTATCTTCCGCATTACGAACTAATGCTACCAAACGTTTCCCTCTTGAATCCATATTGAAAACAACAACAACAACCTTTTTTCCCAGAACAATAGGCTACAAAACACAGCACCGACAATGCACGCACAAGTCACAACATCTATTTTTGCGGAAATAATTACGACTGACGACTGCCGAGGGCACACTGCATGAGAAATGATGAAATAATCCCCTCTACTGTTTTTATTTTGTAAACGAATAACTGCGTTTCACCAATATACTGAAAACACACAGTACCACATAACAATACTTATTTCTTTTTACCAGTTAAAGAATTTACCATCTTTAATATATATAATGTACTGGTAAAACGGCATATATTCTCTTATTACCTTTTGGTAGAAGTAATTTCTGACTTGTGAGGAATTCGTGCACAAACAAAAAAGGTTAATGCAATTTAATGGTTTTTAGCTGTATTATACTAACGAATGGTATTTCTATCTGCACTTAACCCATTTTGCATTATTTTGCAAGAAATCATTCAATGCAGATAACCTATTTTTTCACGAGGTACCTCACTATATATTAACAATTTCACTTGTATGGTTTTGCCAGTAGAAAGAGAAGATTAAATTCAGCCAGCCTATGTCATTTATGCGTTTTTTGAATTTTTGTCACTTAGCCGGTTTTGCCAGACTACCCTCGATATATTTTGAATTTTATATACCTAATTTAAATGTTTCTTTTTTATCTATTGCTTAAAAATAAAGGTAGAAGAAAAATGACTAACAAAATTCTGACTTGGTATTTGGTAAATGAGGGGGACCCCAACGTTGTTTCACATTCGCGCTTTTCACACGCTTGTTTATTTTTGTTAAGTTGTAACTTACTATTACTAGTTATTTTATTCATATTAGTGTGTGTATGTCTGTAAGTTAACGCTTGCCCGCTACGGGTGTTAAATATGAGTTCAGAACGCAGTAAGATTTGGCTTTACTTCGATAAAAAAAGAAAATCGTGTGTAGTGTAAATTATGTACTTACAATGTCATACACAGAAGTAATACCAGTAATTTGTGGAATCAATTAAGAACTAAGCATTATACCAAAACAAACAGGTATGAATTATACGTTAATCAAATACTCGAACATTCGAATACTCGAATATTCGAATACTCGTATACTCGTATACTCGAATATCGTATATTCGAATATTCGAATATTCGAATATTCGAATAGTCGAGTATTCGAATACTAGAATGTACGAATAGTCGAATACTCGAATATTCGAATAGTCGAATACTCGAATATTCGAATATTCGAATATTCGAATATTCGAATATTCGAATACTTAGAAATATTCGAATAGTGAATAATATGGGTATTCGAATAAAGTTTCAAACGAATATTCGAATACAAAAATCTGAAAAATTCCGAGCCCTAATTTTTTTTTTAGGAATTTATTGTATTCTGCAAAGCAACAGCCTTACTGTTTATAATCTATACTTATATATACTGTGCTTATACCTTCCATAAATAGTTTGTATTTTATTTTCCTCAAAAAAAAATCATGAAGTAATACACCCTATAAAACATTATTCGCCTTCATAGCGGATAAATCAATAATACCTATATAAAATAATGTAAGAGAGACAAACAGATTGCATACATTTCATCCCTGAAAGAGACGCATACAGTCAATAGACTGCTTCCTTTCTTGTAAAACCATGACATCAGTAATTGTTTATTGCTATATTTTTGTTAATTTGATAGTAAAAAATATAAGGAAAGCACTCTTACCTTGTCAATACACAGGCGAAACTTTTAGGAAGAATATTTTTTTTTTATTAGGCTTTCGTTTTTAGTCAAATGAAAGGTATATTTCTAAAAGAAGATTTTTTAACCAAATTTGTCGACAGCCAAAATAAGTTTTAATCTACACCATACTTATATTGTAAAATACCTAACATTATTTTGTGCTATTGTGGAATATTTTTCGGTTCCTTTGTCACAACTTTGAGCGTTAAAGTTTAGAATATGCATCCCTCGTACCTACATGCAATTGTTAAAATTATGAATGAATGCTGATTTTGTTTGGTCTCGGAAGTAATTTTGTAGTATTTAGGCTCCACCCTTAAGTTATAATTTGTATACCTACTAAACTACCGTTGCCCCGCAGATCTTTTAGATTGTAATGTAAATTTTCCTCTTGTTGAAAATAATAGAATACTGACGTTTTGGTTTTTTTGTCAAGATAGTGAAAAATAAAGGTCATATTTTTCAAAAGCGGTTTTAATTCAAACAATGTTCTCCATATTCAACACAATGTTTAATTCTAGGAAAATGATATTAGATCCAGTTAATAAAACATATAATAATTTTTAAATTGACAATATTTTTTTAAAGAAGTGTTAATTGTGAAGTTCAAAAAATTAATTAGATATATGTTTTTCTAACTGAAACATTATTATATTAAATTTAATTATGATATTTCGAAACCTTGTAGTTATTTTTTACCATTTACTTTATTGTCTTATTAGCATAGTCTAGAAGACGGGAGCAATTACAGTTTAACATATTTGTTTACAAAAAGCCATAGAAATCCGAGAACCAAACTAAATGAAATAGGAACTCCAAGTTAAATCCCTTGAGAAATTAGAAGCTCTTGTATAAGTTAACCCGATGTAACTCGGGTTTTCCATTTATTTACTCATGAATTTTCTCTTGTTACTTTTTATATCTACAACATATTTGGCGAAGAAGTATTTGTGAACCATATAAAAAATTCAACTCTACTAGTGTTCGAATTAGTTGGAAACTGTTCATGAATAGGTAAGCTTTATGTACATTCAATGTCAAACTTTCTGATCAATTTACAGAATGTTACAGTAGCTCATAAGAAAGTAATTATGATGTAATAGTAGCCATTGAAACCTGGTTAAGAGGAATACATACCCTCGCTTATTTGAAATAAAAGTCAAACGCCGTTATTTACTAAGCGATTTTTTTTTTTTTAATTTTGGGAGTTAATTTACTTCATACTTCTAAAAAAAAATAATAGGAGCAGATTTTTTTTGAAAAGTCTAATTTTTGAGAAAAAAATATTTTCACTCTGATTTTATTTTTTTTTTTGAAAAATCTGCTGCCACAACTTTTTAAATATTAGTTAGATGTAACCATTCCCAAAATTTCATGCTTTTATCTTTAGCCGTTTGAGCGCACAACAAAAATAAAGATTTTTGTTCTAAAACTTGCTAAAAATAAATAAAATATTTGTTAGCGCTGGTCGAAACTCTTACCAGTGCCGTGGCAAGCGAGCATGGATGTGTTACATCTTTCTGAGATTCTGGATTTTTATGTTTTTGACAGTATGTCTGTTTTACTTTCCTCCTGCATTTTTTTAAATAATTTTATAAATTTAAATGAACATTTAGTGTATATTTTTGTCAATATATTTTAAAAGCGTATTTGTAATTATTATTATACAAACTTCAAAAGTAAAAAATCTGATGTGTCCAACACATGACTAGTTATTACAGGCTTTTTCCGGTTATTTTGTACATGCAGCACCTCTATAAATGTTTAGAGGAGGATAAACTAAATATATATGTACATTTTCCAGATATTCATTGAAAACGAAAATACTGAAAAATTTAAATTTAGCACTTTTCCTACAATTTTTCCATTACGGTCCATTTTATAAAAACCATGTTTAAACAAAAATTATAGAGATCGATATTGCAAACAACTTTTATTTCAACAATTTTCATAAAAATCAGAATTTTGCATATTTTGTCAAATTTCTCGAATACGGACCATTTCAGAAAATTTTTACATATAGCAAAAATTATAGATAATAATATTAGAAGTAACTTTTATTTAAACAATTTTTTTCTGGAAACATAAATAACAGATATATTCCATAAAAAAACGGCCTACCATAAAGTACCCCCTCAGATGTTCCGACTTTGTCCAAAATTTAATCATTTCACGTCAGGCCGAAATAAAACTTAAGTTTAAAATTTAATGTTTTTTTCTTTATCCGTTTTTGAGTTTTCTTCAAATTTCGAAATGTACACATTTTCTCGAATACGGTCCATTTTAGAGAAATTATGTATAGGATAAAAATTGTAGAGAACTTTTGTTTGAACAATTTTTATAAAAAAATATTTTTGTGCATTTTGTCAAATTTCTCGAATACGGACCATTTTAGGAAAATTTTGTATAAAACAAAAATTATAGATAATAACGCTGTGCTAGAACAATACTAGGACAACTTAAAAAAAGTCATTTCGAGAAAATCGACTTTTAATGCCGTAATTGTACTTAACTTTTTTATTACTCAAATTAATAATAAGATCTTAACGTAGTTCGTTGTGATTTGTACATAAAAATTTACAATGAATGTTATTATTGTTATCAACTTTTTTTTTAAATAAATATTTTGTAAGATGTCCTTGTATTGTTCTAGTAAAAAAATAATTTAAACACATTTTCAGAAGTTGTCTGAGTTTTTGTTTTAAGTTATCTTAGTAGTGAATTGACTTATTGTTTATTTATTTAAAATTATACCTCTTTTCGTTAAAAGTATCTTTGTATTGTCCTATATTTTTTAGATAATTAGCAAACTTATCTCTATTTTTTAAATTTTTAGTTAACCTAGTATTGCACGGTTTTCACTGTAAATTATGTTTATTGTCTTTTTTTTTAATTTGTAAGTTGTCTTTCGAATATTGCGTTAAAGAAAAACAGTTATAGTAAAAAATAATATTTATTTCCACAATGTTATTCTTGAATAAAAAAGTGCTTATTACAACAAAATATTAAAAAAAAAAACAAATCTCCGCTCTAAAAGTTAACCAGGTACTATTTTTTCTATTAAAAAAAATATTACTAAAAAAACTACAAATAATTGCATAATAAACAACACAAACAAATCGGGTGATACATTAAATAAAAATAATGGAAACATTTAAACAAATTTATTCGCTATCTTCATACTCTTTTTGGCCCTTTTTTAAGGCTTTTAAGTTTTTAAAAAAATCATGGTGATCTATTGGTACATGTTTCAGCAAACTTAACAAGTCCTCTTTTTTTTTATAAGTTATTTTGGGCCTGTCAATATATGCTGAAGTAAGTATATCATCGTCATTTTTTTTACTAATATTAATTTGTTTGAAAATATCCGTGTCAAAGGTATTTTTATAATAAATTGTAGGTATTTGGATCATCTTTAGTTATACGCAACATTTTTATATTGCTCCAATATACTTTCTCACCATCCGTATTTTTGATAAAATTACCGAAATTATTGCTAAAAGTTTTCCAATCTAATATATCAGTATATTTTATATTATTTACCAAGTAAGGCTTCCCTTGTTTTTTTGCTAATTTAATAATCATTTCCACTTGTTGTGGGGTATACAAAGGCCCACTTAACAGAGCTCTCTTTTTCGAAGACTCTATGCAAGAATGCATAGAATCTCCCTCGTTTTGGGAATGGCCAGCTATAAGAAATTTATGAGTTATGGATTTCACATCATAGTTTCTTACAACGTAAATAAACATAATAGCCAAACTCAACCTACTCACTTTATCTACACGATGGGAAACTTAAATTTAAAAAGGGTAAACGAGGTAGAGGACTTGGGTATTACATTCTCTAGTACTCTTAACTTTACTTCACATGTCCAAAAAATCGTCTCTTTGGCAAATAAATCAGTAGGATTTGTAAAACGTACAACATCAGAATTTAATAATATTGATTCGATTAACTATTTATTTTGCTCTCTTGTAAGAAGTAAACTAGAATTTGGTAGCGTAATCTGGAATAATATGATAAATAAAACTCTAACTTGCCGAATTGAAACGATTCAAAATAAATTTTTGAAATATTTATATTACAAGAGGTACAAAACCTCTCCCGGTCATATGTCTTACCAACCAATAAGATCAGAGTTCAAAATTATAAAACTGGAGAATAGAAGACTCCATCGCAGTTTGATACTTCTATATAAATTATGTAACCATCTGATTGATTCTCCTAATCTATTAAGTAAAATCAACTTTTATGTGGCTGATCACAGAACTCGTCCCAGGGCACAACTATTTTTCACTGAAACCAACAACAACACTTTAAATCGAATATGCCAGTTATACAACACATACATCACAGATCTCTGTCCTGGATTATTTGGAATAAAAATGTCCTTGTTTAAAAAATATATCACATCCAATGTACGTATTACCTAAATATACAAAATATCTCTGTCTTTGTACTAGTCTCCTATATTAAACTAGATCTTAACACATTATATTATTATTGTAATAGTATTATATGAAAATTGTTACGTCATTTTAAAATAACTTTTGTTACAGGAACATGTAATTAGGGCAACCTGTATGTTTCTGATAAATAAATAAATAAATAAATAAATTTATTTTTATTTTGACCCCCGCAGTTGTCCGAATAAAATGTAACATTTTTTCCAATGCAGTTGTTTATAAGCAAATTATAAAAACAAGTTGAAATTTCATTACTACCTCTACGGGCTTCCCCTTCGTGCCACAAATAACATATTCCAGCTTTATTAATGAGATCGAAAGCAGTGAAATTGAGACAATTTAGCTTACTTTTATAGTAAAAACTAGAAATATTTCCGCAAGGTAACGGTATTACTGCTTGCAAATCAAAGATATAAACAGCGTTTGTATCTTTATTTGATGTTGCTAACTCAATATCTGTAGCTTTTTCTTTGCGAGATAGTTCCTTTTCAAGTTGATGCGAATCATATTTTTCATGCAAAATTGACTTATCACTGGCATGCAAATATTCATCACACAAGGTACATAAATCTTTATTTGGGCGAAAAAAACCAATGTTAAAACAGGTGTTAAAGATGTGAGAATACATAGAATGTTTTACTGCTGCATTACCTTTAATCTGGCAGTCCTCAAGGTAAAGCCTGTACATTTCTGCAATAGTAAGTCCCCCATCAATAAATTCCCTTTGATTATCTTTGCGGCAATAGTGTGATTCGATTCGTGAAAATGTATTTATGTGATCAATTACACCTTGTCGTAAATATTTATCAAGTTTTTTATGATTATCGTGACATCCTCTAGCATCTGCTAAAACAAGACCGATATCATTTTTTTTTAAATTACGGTACTAATAGCTGTATTACTTAGGTCTAAAGTGGTTTTAAAAAAGAGTTTACAAACTTTTATCTTTTCATTGTCAATTTTAAAATGATAAGAATAATTAAGCGATCGTTTGCTGTCTTGTTTAGCATTCCGATATTTTCTTGCTTTAGTTGGGCTTATACAAGAATTTATGAAGTTCCTCTGATTATTCTTATCACCACATTTTTCATAAAAACTTGTAAAAATGTTTAGCTCTTTTCATGATTTATTTTCTGGCTGCACTGTAGCCTACAAGTTTCTGTGCAACCCTGCTGTAGTCGTTTACTTCTCTTGATGTTTCCCCCTTTGGACAAATATTCTTTTCCGGTATTAACCTTTTTTTTTAATATTTCGGCGCCATGTTGATGGATTTCTGATATTTTATTTGACTTTTTTTGGTAACACTTTATCATTACTGCGCGAACTCGTATTAGAATCCTCGTCTTCTGGAGAATAATCCATATCGGCATCACTATCTTCGAATGGACTAGGAACATTTACCTCTTCGGAATCATCATTAAATTTCTGGTTTTCTCCAAAGAATACCTTGAGGTCCCGAAGGTTATTTTTTACATCTTTTTTTTCTATTCTAAACAAATATGTTTGAGTTTCGTTTTCTCTTTCAAGCCAAACATCACCAGGCTAAAAAACAACCGATTTATGAAAACGACTCTTAGAAGTTATACCTATATACCGGCAAACTTACCATCGTGATGTTCTTATTACCGCTTATTTTTGGCTTAATATCTTTCCGTATTTGAGAAGAATTATTCGGATTCTATAAAAGAAATAATCAATATTCTATGTATTTAGAGCACCCTGTATATTTACTTACTATATCTACAACAGGTCCACTTTCTGGTGAAACAATACATCTTGCGGCTTCTTGGAGAATTTTTTTCGTTCTAATTGATTTCATAATTTAAACTTAAACGACCCTACCCGCCGACAGACTAAATTTAGACTGAAGACTGACAAGTTTGAACAAAAATATTTGGTTCCATCAAAGAGCGCCCCACTCTATGGTTCAATACAGAGACATCTTTAAGGAGTTTATAATTTTTATTTAAAATTAAATAATATTTTGGCACAATACAAAGATAACTTTTAAAATGCAGTCATGTTAAAATAATATTCTTATTATGTAGTGAAATACTGAGATATATTTGACAGTGTAATACTAGGACAACTTATAAAACCGAGATATCTTAATATATATAACTTAATACTTGGGAAAAGAGTGAGACTTCTTAAAATATCCTACTATTTCACCAACAAAAATGTAAAATAACGATTCCCAACTAAAACGAAAGAAAGAGACATTTTAAGATATCTTACTATTAACTTAAAAACTAATTAAAATGTATAAATTGCAACACTAAGATATAAGTTAGACTGTGCCCAAATAAATGAATTTTGTATATCTGACTATAGCACCAGAAAGAGCTTTTTTTTACATTGTAATGATCCGGATAACTCAAAATCGGCATTTTTTAAGTTGTCCTAGTATTGCTCTAGCACAGCGATAATATAAGAAGTAACTTTTATTTGAAGAATTTTCTTCCCCAAACGTAAATAACGGATATATTCCATAAAATATAAAAATGACCACTTATAAAGTACCCCCCAGATGTTCCGACTCTGCCCAAAATCTAATCAGCTCATTGGACGCTGATACAAAGCTTAAGTTTAAAATTTGGTGTTTTTCTATGTATCGGTTCATGAGTTATGCGACACACAGACACACACACAGACACAGACACAGACACACAGACATCATCGCGAAAATAGTCAAAACGGATTCAGGGGACCTCAAAACGTAAAAAACCGTCGAAAACTCGAGGTCGAAAAAAATCATGATTCCTATACTTTCCTTATATCTGTATACAGATAGGAAAGTAAAAAAGAAAATACAATATATTTTCTAATGCAGAAGCGTTTATCAAGAATAAAGATTTCCGAGAAATCAACAATATCTTATTCCAAAACAACTATCTTAAATCTTTTAATCCCTTAATTAAAAAACAATTATAGTTTTATAAAACTTCATAAATCGGTTAATAAAGCTAATTCTATGTAGGAAATTAGGTTAATTTAATATTGAATAAAACTTTTATGCCGCCTTTACATGCAGCCACTGCCGCTGCTACTCGCGCTGCCCGCTGTCCTGACCTGAATAATTCCACGGCAGCCTTTGAAGCTTGTGACTATTTAGATGCAGCTATCGCGCCTACCCTTTATTGTCTAGCATTAATGAAGGACGTAGCGCTCGGTTTCTTGAGTTTGCAAAATAATATGTTTTAAAAAGAAATATGACATAAAAAAACCAAATGGGCTAAAAAACCTTATCAGCATTCGCTCCAGACCATATCAACGCGTTTTCTTTTATAATAGTGGCCGAAATGTTGTCATTTTTTTCTTCGACTTCAATACTTCAATTGAGGCAATTTCTAGGTTTTCACTTTTCCATCCATCGTGTACTTTGTGTTTTTTTGTGGTCTTTATGTGAAAGATCCCATAATAATACCTCAGTTGCATATAGCTCTAAAAATTTTAAGAGCACTTGGTCGTTGCTCTCCACAACCATGGTTTAAATGTTTTTGGTGCCAATAATTAACCAAACAACAAACATAAAGTGTTCTTTGTGCACTTGGTAAAGCAACAGAACAGTACAGCGCGCAGCATGTAAACAGTCGCTGTCGCTCGTGCTCCAAGTCCTTTGACTTCTGTTCAAATTACCGCCACTGAAGGGATCGTGCGGCAGCGACAGTGGCATGAGCAATAGCAGCGCGAGCGACGTGTTTACATACTCGCGCTGCCAACTTCTCTGTCCAATTCCATGCTCACTGCCACGAAATTGAGCTGCATATAAAGTCCACATAAAGTGTTATTGATTGACACTTATCTGGTTTAATAACAATGTTTTGAAGAATATTGATAGGGGTTGAAGTATCAGCTACCTGCGAATCGCAATGGGAAATACCTATCAAGGTAGGTGATTCATGATCTAAATGTATATATATTTAGTGGCTCAGATTGCATTGTGCATTATGGAAAAGATATTTGTAGAATGAAGTGATTTTTTTGTGAGTTTTGAACTTTTATTGTGAAAAAATTGGAAAAAAGAAAATATTGCCAAATTGGGCAAACGACGATACATCCAATCCAGAATGCGGTAAGTACTATAAGTAACATTTTTACATTTTGATATTTCTACCCCTTTTTACTTTCCCTTAATTATATTTTTTAAATTATGTTATTAGTCCAATTAAATAGCAAAAAAAAGCCCCTTCGAGCTTACATTAATTTGTAATTGGATGAAACAAAGTGGACCTTGTGTATTTTGATATGATCTTTCCGAAAAAAAGAAAAAATGATGTAGCAGTTGTTCAATTTTTTTTAAAATTGTGAAAAACCGGGTTTTCCGGAATTTTCCATGGTAAAAATGCTAATTATCTGGGCAAGTATCATTCTGATAGTAGAAATAAATGCACCAATCAAAAGAGGAGGCAAAAATAGTTCGGAATTTCATTGCACAGGTAGTTTTAATGGCGAATTTCTCACAGCCAGAAGTGCTTTTACCAAAAAGTTGTTTTTTCGTTTCTTTGATTAGAATCATGAACATCAAATTTGCGATGAATTTGTGGCGAAATTATAAATGTTAGACATATGTGCGCCTATGAGAGAAGTTGCGTATTTTTTTGTGGGCTCTCAAATAATATAAGTCCCGCGGCGAAATCTGCCATAATTTTTTGGGAATTCGAAGGAAACCGGAAGGAGTAAATTTTTTTTAATTTTTTCTTATATGATTTTCTCCGGGTTTTCCGAAAACATCTAACAAAAAATATATTTGAAGAAACTAACTGCGCCATCGGAAAGAGCACAAAAAAATATACAAAAAGGTATACTTTAAAAATGTTAGGAAATTTATCCTAAGCTTGAGTGTAACTTCCAACTTGGTGATAAGCTTGTTTTTTGTTCTCTAACATCTGGTTTTCTTCTCGGTTGATGCTCCATCCTCCTTTTTTTTTTGGCATTGTCAATCGCGGCCCTTTTATGCCTATCCCAGGTTTTTTAAATAAACTCTTTTCCGTAACGTCGAGCTACGTTATGTTTGCGACACCTTTCATGCAATATAAAACCTGGTTCTAAAGAACTGAAAAAATCATCCCCTCTCTCTTTGCTGACCATCTGCAGACCTTTCAATCCTGTCGGTCTAATTGGGGTAAGTTCACCCTCTGCAAGTTTCTGATGACATAATAAACACAGTCCAGCCATTGCAACCTGGAAACAAAAAAAGTATAGCACCGTGATAGAATTTTCTTAATTTAAGAACGTACTTATTTAATAAATTGCTGAAGAAGTCCGAAAAACCACGTGTACACAGAGCTTGCTGAATTAAAAATCTATGCCGATATACACTATCAAGCGATTCAATTTGTAATAATATAACCGTTTCAAGTTTAAACTTGTCGGATATCGAACGCCGAGACCATGACTATCCTTGATACGACGTCTGGCTAATTTTGCGGTAATTCTATTTTTTGCACAAAACTCAAGAAACATCTTATAACAAGTCAGTAAAATACAATTTAATAAATTTTAGGCCTAATAAATTTAGGTATGTAAGAAATTTAAAACTGGAAATCACAAAAAATCAAATTACAGAAATGCACGAGTTTTGGATCCCGCGGAGCGTGTGTAATGGGACTTTTGTCGGGAGAATTCTACAACTTGGAAGAAACAAACACACTTTAAACTTTGTATACACATTCAGAAGACATGAGATTTGGGTTTGCTCAATTTTCAGACCAAAAAACTGAAAATCGTCAATTTTAGGCAACTTTTCTTAAAAACCGTGTTTTTTGGTCGTCACTCAATGAATAGTGGTCAAAAAAATAGATAAAATATTTTTGCAGAATTTTCCGTAATGGAATCGTATTCTAGACATAATAGAGTATTCAAAAAAAAAATTGTGAGTCATTGGGTGCATTTTCGGCATTTTTGTGCCACTTCCCACTAGGGAAAAAAATTTGTTAAATTGTTTGATATCTTGGCCAATTATAATCCGATTTCGGTAAAATTCACACACGTATAAGACTTCATATTTAAGAGTAAGCTCTGTAAGTGGCATTAAATAAATTTAAATAGTTTGGCCGTTATAGGCAAACAATGAAATTAGGCTTGCGGTACACTTTGCCCTTCCGCCATATGCCCAATTTTGGGATTTCTCTTGCCCCCTTCTGGAATTAATAGTCACATCCCTTAAGTTCAAAACGAATTTTTGTTTCTTTAAATATCTTAATTTTTACCAAAGTTATGAAGAATTTAGTGTTTGAAGATTTAACAAATTCAATTTTTCGACCTTTACCGCCTCAAAATACTAAACAAATGTCAACCGTCCATACCGCGAGAACGGTGCATTCGATCAAAATTTCTCAGGAGACATAAAAATTAGCATTTTTTCTAAGCTTTCAAATGTTGTAAACTGTGTTTTAAAAATAATGATTTATTTGCGACATGCGCATGCGCAAAATTAAAAAATTGACAAAATCCAAAATTTCGGCATTTTCGTGTTTTGCCTTTTTTCAAAAAGATCACCTCAAAATACATAGAATCCATTTTGTTTCATCTAATTACAATTTAATGTAAGCTCAAAACCGGTAATTTAATTCGACTATATTGAGGGGAAGTATTGTGATCGCCCAAAATTTTTACCTCGAGATTTTGATTGATTTTCACGTTTTGAAGGGCCCTGAGTCCGAAAAACATGTCTGTGTGCCTGTCTGTCTGAAATTTACGTCAAGGCACAGAGTCGAATTTTCCCAAAAACGTGGTCAAAACCCTTAATAATCGATTGGGAAAAACTGGGAAAAACACATTAATAATCGATTATCTAATCCCCAACGGGTCAAAAAC